TTTTCGATATAGTGAGATCCTTTAAAGGACCTCTCGGAGTCCTTTAATACCGAACGAGGATTCAGCCAAGGTGACAATTTGTCTTGCTATCTTTTTAAGATCCTGCTGGAAAAGGTCATGCAAATGTAAACAGAAATAACACTCTATACACCAAACAGCACATGTTACTTACCTTTGAACAAATTGAGAAGGAGTCTGCCAATGTGGGTCTGGCAGTAAACGGCGAGAAGACCAAGCTGGGGGGTTACTCTGTATTGCGTTGCGAAAGCAAGTGCGATGCGAAAGCTAAATGCGTTAAGAGTACAATTTGGTACTCTGTAACGTTCACGCAAACGCATTCGCAAACTAAATTGAAAATAGGGCAACACTGTCGCCACAAAGTAAACAATAAGGAAGAATGACAAAAGGAAACGTCAAAAAATTGTAAATGAAAACATATTTTTTTGTAGTACGAGTGTTTTTTTAAACAAAAATGATGAACGAATTAAAAAAAAAAGAATTTTATGAGATCTATCAAATATACTCTCCTTAAGTGACCACGGGTATGAAAATATAAGTACGAATTATGTGACAAATGTTTTCAAATATTTAATTTTTATAGATTTATATAAAATGTCTCAATAAAGATTCGTTTATGTATTTTTTAAACGCTCGTCGTTTCAAATAGATCCACAACAATTCCAACTCCAATAAAAGAGGCCGCTGCTTTGAAATTACTTGGACAAGGTGGTTATCAACACCAACCTATAAATATGCACACATAGTTTCACGTTTTATATAAAAAAAAAATAATATATTACTTTTTCCAACCACCGACATCTTTTACAGGAGGTCAATTTGAATTGAGGTCATCAGACAGTTTTGTCCACAAATTGTTGGCGCGTTGTTTCGCATTTGAACTCTGCAACTGTCCCTTTGCCAAATCACTGTGTTGCCCCATAAAATCTACTGAAGATAGGAACTGACGTTGCTGAGCCTGTAACTGTGACTTTTTTTGCCTTTTACTTAAAATAATTTACAATTTATATATAAATAAAACCTTTAATGGAGCTTACTTATATGTTTCGCTTCCTTTGCGTTTGCTATTTTGTTAACGCAAGATATTTGCGCTTAACGAACGAGTTTGACATGCGTTTTCGTATTACAGAGTGCGGTGATGCTACATTTGCGTAAAGTAGATGCGAAAGGAGATACGAAAACGAATTAGAGAGTACCAATTACGCGATGCGTTACAATTTTTCTCACGCATCGCAATACAGAGTAGCCCCCCTGATGCTATCAACGCGCAAGACGCCCAGTAGACTCGAACCAACTGAGGAACTTGAGAACTACAGCTTCGAGGTAGTCAAAGATTTTATATGCCTTGGCTTCGCCATAAATAAAACTAATGATATCAATTTTGAAATTCGGAGAAGGCTTTTGATGGTCAACAGGAGCTGTACCGACTGAGTTGGCTAGGTCATATTGTGAGAATGGATGACGATGCCCCAGCTCAAAATGCATATAAAAGCGAGCCTACTGATGGTTCACACAGAAGGGGAAAGCCACGAATGCAATGGAAAGATCAAATAGAAGACAACATCTTGGAACGTGGTCTTTCAAATTGGATGAGATGCGCACAAGACCGAAGCGCCTGGAAATCTTTTTTAAGCTCAGCTTATGGAACAACCGTTCTGTCATAAGCCAGCTAAGTAAGTAAGTGATATAGTCCCAATATAACTGTACCACCACATTTTAGGTATGTTGAACGTTTTATCGAGGGTTGTAAATTGGCATTTGTTTGTTTACATAACATTTTGACTTAACCCCACCGAATTTTAAAAATATGTTAGGTATTTTAAATACGCATCTCATGGTGGAGGGAGTAAAATTTGTTGTCCTACGAATTTCTTTCTTTTAATTTAACTTGTTTTTATTTTATAGAAGATTCGATTCGCTACTATTGTATATTGTGTGATTTGAATATTTTGCGTAAGGATAATATGTCAAGACATATTAAAACAATACACCCCGATGAGCAATATGAAGATATTGTTAAGATTTTAAAGCCCACATTATACAAATCTAAAGAACAGTTATTAGAAATAACTGCAAATAAGACTGAAAAGCAACAAGAACACAAGCATGAAGATTTTACTGATAATAAATCGACTAACGACTTGGAACCATCAAATAACGTTGTAATTATTGAAAATAAATTATTGCAAAGACCAAACACAGATTTACAGATTTATGATGGACAAGCAATAAATCAAATTCATGTTATTACGACCCTGCCGACTACTACTCTGCAGCAGGTTGATAATATGGAATATAACAAATCTTCCACTGACGTCTTAACAAATGAAAATAAGAAGCGGAGGACTCAAAATAATTGTATATACAATTGCCCGGACAATCAATCATTCAGTGATGAAACTCACCATAGACTACATGAAATATCCTTTGATTATGATAAAAATCAAAACAATGGAATACTTCCAACATCATATTCGGAATCATTTACATGTCCCGAAGACAATCGGTTTACTGCTCCTGCTAATACAAGCAAATTTCAAATGGCCAAGGATTGTCAAGTCAATGAGACCAATATCAACCGGCATACATTTCCGTCGGAAACAATTTCGGAACACAACAGAAATATTGCAACATCTTGTAAAGAACTCAACTCCATTGTTGTTGTTCACAAGCCCTCCGTTATACGTTCCGTGGGAAATGTTAGTAAGAAAATATCCCTTCCCGTGCATGACACTGAAATCGTTACAAAACCACCCAAGGAAATCAAACCAGCAATGGACTATGAATATAAACACAAGAAATATAATCGTTGCTATAATGTGGATTTGTATCGCAAAATTTTGGGCATCAATGGTGACGATGATGATGACGAAGAAGATAATATGGATACAAATTGTAATTCCTCTCGGCCGGGAAAACAATCTGAAGAAATAACATCTAAAATTCCAGAAGATTGCCGCCTAACTGGATCGGCAAATGGAATTGCTGCTGTACATTGGCGTAAAAGCTTTAAACATATCTATGAAACTTCGTCAATGTAATAATTTAAAACTTTTATATATTATAAAATACAATAATTATTAAAATTAATTTATTAAATAAATTACATTGTATTCTCTAAGAGCTTTAAAATATTTATTTAAAATAGATTTTAAAACAATAAATTATTTATTTTCTAAGAATATTTATAATTTTTTTTATAAATAATTTTAAGCCAAAATTGTGTTCTCTAAGGGCGTTTTAATGATTTAGTTTATAAACTAAAGGTATATAAAATAATAAATAATATTTTTCATTGCATTCAATATTTGGTTTTTATTTATAATATAAAATAAGAATCTTCTTCGCCATCACATGTACTAATAGCACCAGTGGCATTAGCTACAGAAATTCCAGAAATCAAAAAAAAAAAAAAAGGTAGAACATTTAAACGGACGGATTCAGAAGACCTTATTAACCATCATGATAAAACGGTTTGTATTATTTTATGAAGCTTATGTTGATAATTTTTCTTATATGCAATCAAAATTCATTCAACAATTTTTTATACCCTCAGCCTTACGGCAAATGTGGTTATATAAATAAACTTTGTTATGGCAAAAATACAATATTTAGCTGGCTTGTGACAGAGCATTTGTTCCATAAGCTGAGCTCTTCAAATTTGAAGGAAATGTTCTCTTCCACTTGATCTTTCCATCGAATTCGGGGCCTTCCCCTTCTGCCTGAGCGATCGGTAGGCTCGGTTTTATATACCTTTTGTGCTGGCATTGACCATCCACAACATGACCTAGCCAACATAATCGCTGCAACTTGTTACGTCAGACTATGTCTATGTCCGACAACAGGTTATACTACTTATAGTTTTTCGGAGAATTTTTCTCTCAAACACTCCAAGAGCTGCCTCGTCTGCTAGGGCAAGTACCCATGCTTCAGATCCATATAACGTCAGCGTCTTGTAGAGTGTAATATAAAGGTATATAAATCTTTGACTACCTCGAAGCTGTAGTTTTCAAGTTCCGCAGTTGGGCTTGTTCTTTGAATTGATTACTCAGACCATAGTAGCATCTATTGGCCAACACCATCCTCCGAATTTCAAATCTAATATAAAATCTTTGACTTCCTCGAAGCTGTAGTTTTCAAGATCCACAGTTGGTTCGAGTCTACTGGGCGTCTTGCGCCTTGATATCATCATCATTGGCTTATCGCCTCGAAGCTGTAGTTTTCAAGTTCCGCAGTTGGGCTTGTTCTTTGAATTGCTTACTCAGACCATAGTAGCATCTATTGGCCAACACCATCCTTCTCCGAACTTCAAACCTGATATAAAATCTTCGACTTCCTCGAAGCTGTAGTTTTCAAGATCCACAGTTGGTTCGAGTCTACTGGGCGTCTTGCGCCTTGATATCATCATCATTGCCTTCTCGCCATCTACTGCCAGACCCACTTTGGCAGACTCCTTCTCAATTTGTTCAAAGGTAGCTGTTACCGCTCACAATGTTCGACCCATTATGTCGATGTCATCGGCGAGCAACATGTGTTGTTTGGTGTACAGAGTGTAATTTCTGTTTACCTTTACCTCTCGTAAGACCTTTTCCAACAGGATGTTGAAAAGGTCACACGACAAACGACAAAGTCACCTTTTTCCGAATCCTCGTTCGGTATTAAAGGGCTCCGAGAGGTCCTTTCTGACCTTGTGCTACTCAAAGTTATCATGCATAGCCGTATTAATTTTGCAGGAATGCCCAACGCCGACATGGCTTTAAACACCTCTGAACGGATAGGGCTGTCTAATGCGGCTTTATAGTCAACGAATAGGTGGAATCTGATATCAAAAACTTTTCAAAAAACTCCTTATAGACCCTGTGTCTATCTGTCACCAGGTTTTCTTTTAAAGTTTTCATTTCTTAAAATATCTACTACTTACCTACGTACAAACTTCAACATAATATACTTCTTTGTAAATACATTTATTTGGAACAAAAATGCTAATCGATTTGTTTTTCATAAAAGGCCATAATATCATTCTCTCCCATTTTTAATGAAGCCTTAAGCTTCCACGTCGTCACATTGTCTTCCACAGGAAAATTCGGTTCCAAAGGCAATGGATCCGTATAAACATTACGTTTTTCCAAGGGACCAATTATACATATCCATCTACCTTTATATAATTTCAGATATTGTAAAAATGCCGGGCGATTATTAAAATAACAAAATAGCAATGCAAAATTCCAACTATCCCTCAGGCAACATGTTCTCAAATATTCCTCCTTGGTCACATCCATATTATCCACATAATTTAATTCAATAAATGACTTTATGGCATAATTACTGCACCACCAATCGCGATCCACTTCCAAGCCATAAATCTCCACATCTTTAAATAATCATGCGATATATTTTAGTACATTTTTAAGCACCGGATTTCAACACAACTCACTTAAACTTTCTCGTATTATCCACTCAAATAATCCATTGCCACATCCAATGCTGAGCAGACAACCAATATTGAATTCACGTAATATTTTGCCAAATTGCCATAACGATTTTTCCGTTGGCCATATCCATAATAATTTTCGTCGTATTTCTGCATTCAAATCTTCACCATATTTTAATAAAGAACGCCAATTTTTTGTTTCGGGGTTTGTTAAATAATACACTTCTCGGAGATGGCCTTCCTCGTCGATTGATGCCATTGTTTTAATAAAGAAAAAATTTATAAATTAATTGAACTTTTTGGGGTAACAACTTTATGGTCGATACACTGTGTTACAAATTGGAATTAAAAATAAAAAATTGTTTAACACTTTGAAACAAGAGCTATAGACCTTGATTTGAAATGTTAATCTGAAACTTCTGTCACATTAATTCTTGCGGATACGGCACTCAGATCTTAATTATCTGCTGTGGCAGATGCGGCTCTTCTGTTAAAATCGGTGGCGGGGGTTTTTCCGAGGATTGTATTCATCATATATTTTCGAATGGTAGTACAAAATGAAAAAATTCGCTGTTGCAAACATAAATTTACTGTGAAAAAATTAATTTCGGGGGGGCCCGGGCCGCCCCCCTGCGTACGTCCTTGGTATATACTCTATACCGTAATCTCTTATTGGTTCTGGGGTATCGTCTTCACCGCCACTATTTGATACAAGAAGCTTTTCAAAATGCTCCTTCCAGATCCTCAACGCGCTGTCTGTAGCTGTCACCAGGTTTCCATCTTCAGTCTTCTTTTTTTTTAATATTAAAAAAAATCATTGACTATTATTTTATTCCTATTATATTTTCTTAATGTGGTATGTTTGTAGTCATGTGTTTTTCATTCCTTTTTAACGCACGCAAAAAAATTATCTGATCTTGGTCGTGGTCATTGTCATGTGCACGCTGTCGATGGCATTTGGCCAACTGCTTATAAATATGGTTGGCATGATGATTTGGCTTTTTTCTTAATTTGTCTGTATTCTTGCCTCATTAAGACCAAACATATATAAAAATGAAATTATTTAAAACAATAAATAAACAGATGCGAGAGGATATATAATAATCATTGGATTTAATTGTTTTAATTTGCTTTTATTTTTCTTTTATACAACCAGACTTGTTTAGCTAAACTTTGGTTTTCAAAAATCCACAACAATAAAATAAACATTACACTTAGAACACCAGTTCCTAAATGTAATTTTAATGATAAATGATTCTGAAAATAATAATAAAAAATAAATTGTTAACATTTTCAATAGTCAATATTAGATTTAAAATAAATTGTTAATACGCAATTGACATCTAGCAACTTACCTTTGTGTAATAACAAATAACATAGGTAATTACTAGGCCAATGGAAAATATTTTCCCCGGTATTAAACCCTTTAAGGGCCTATAGTCCAGTGGTTTGTATTGTTGCCAAATATATTTACAACTACAAAACAAAATATTTAAAATTTAAGAATGAAGATTTAAATTGAAATAAAAAAATATTACCTGCTAACTATCCGACATAACATATTAATACAATTGGCAATTATAAAACCAACTGGTCCAAAAATTCTTGTCAACACAAAAGACATAACAATAAATATAATGGAAAATATACCCATTACATAGTTATATTTATCAATTTGTTTGCCAGTATTTGTGGCAAACATATAACCTTCGGTAATACCATTAATTGCCAGAAAATATATGGCAACACAATGACAACGTAATAACTTTTCGGGTAAATCATCCGAAACAAATTTCGGACCACCATATAAATATAAAACGGAATGTGAAAAGTTTTGACCAAATGTGGTAGCCAACAAACCAATAGATGTTATGGCCAATAATAAGTTTTCCAAAAGACTAGCTGCTTCTGAGATTTTCTTCTACAAAACTGAATAAGTTAATTGTGTTTCAATTATTTTATTGTAACCACCAACCTTGTCCTGATCCTTTAGCTGAACATCTCTTGCTATTGTCTGGGTAAAATAAAAGTAACTACTATCCTCAATTGGTCGGAAAATAAATCGTGCAGCCAAACTGCCCAAATTGTTTACAATATCATATGTGGCCTGTTCACTAAATGTTAGGCCCGGTGTTAGTGACATTACATATTTTTCCCCCTCGGTGAGAATTTGCTTGACAAATGTCTGTTTGGCAAAACTCATTGTAAACTTCACCAAGTCCTTGTTCAATACGTCCTCCTACAGAAAACACAAAATTTTAATTATGAATTTTTTATAAATTAAATAAATGAAATAACTTACATTTTTCTTTAACATAACACCTGGTAAAAAGTCCACAACACTTTTAAATGGAAAATCTTCCATATTTCCATACATATTCTCATTGAATGTTGTAACTTGATCCTTCTTTTTATTTTCTTCTCTAAATTTCATTAAACGTCCAATATAGTAAAGATAAAATCCATAATAGCCAACAAATATTGTTGCCGTACTGGCCAATTGGGCATAGCCGAAATATTCTATGGCTTTTGTACCATCCAGACCCAAAACTAAACACAAAAATACACTTGAACGCACCAATATCTGTAGAGTACTTATGACAACTTTCAGTTTGACAAAACAAAATACTTGGCTCACAAAACATGGCGCCTCGGCACAAAATTCCAATAGACAAGATAATGCCACAACGTAACAGGCATAATGATATTGTTGGCGGTAGACCGCATCTTCAACAGGTAACATTACATGTAACCACAGTTGTACACAGACCAATGAAATGCACAGACAAATTGGAAGCCTACAAATCAAAACGAGATTTCATTTTCGGTACCTTTAAACATTCCAATATTTTATACATACGTAAGCCACTGCTGATTTATTAATTGAGCCCATGAACATTTCTGCAATTGCTTGGTGGAGCTGACACTCAGTGCAGCACGATTTATGGCCTCGCGGGACAAAAAGATCACCGTACTTTCAAGCAGCAATAGACGTACATTGATAATACCCAAGACATCGCGACCTATGGTGCGTATCATAAAAATATTCACAGCAAATGTCAAAATGCGGCAGAATATCTATTCGAGACAGGAATACATTATCAATTAAAAATTAAATTGAAATTGCAAAAAACACTTGCCTGGAATCCCATGTTGAGGATGGCACTTAGAAGGCTACTTTTTAATATGTTGCGTGCCATGATTGTGGTTGTTTTCTTCTTAACAATTTGTAAACATCCAATAATTATTGCCCACTTGCCACCCGCACAATTTCCAAAATCAATTTCTATATTGATTCATTCGATTCATCAGTATTGACATGTTCTTATCACGAAACGACTTTTTTTGTTGTTGTCATTGAGTTGTAAACAAACGTACCGGAGTATTTAGGGATGACAATATGAAAAGGTAATCCTATTTTATCGATATAAAGAATAATCGAAATTATTTGCATACACAGTTGGTCTGTTCCTGTATACAAAATCTGGGGGGAAATGTTCATATTTGTGATGGGAAATTAAAAGATAAAGATTATTTTCCATCCCCCATAAGGTAATGCCATGTTCTGACGGGCATTCGAACAACGTAGTTCGCTCTCAGAATTACGTACATGAATTAACCCGTTCATACAACACTATTCTTAATTCATGTCATTAGAGTTTTTTTATTTCAAACTTTTGTTTCTTGTTTTACACAAAAATGTTAACATATTTGCGTGAATCACATATGGATCTAAATAGAAAAAATAATTCTCTTTCTCCTGACTATAGTATGAACCTATATCTATTTACTTTTAATTCATGTTTTCCATTTTTTCCGAAAATATTGTTGCTATGAATAATTTTTTATATTTTCTCAATTCAAATGTGACATATAAAAAATTGGAGAATTTTTGTTTGGGTTTCCCCACATTTGTTTCTCGTTTTGTACGCTAATTAGAAAAAAAAGGGAAGGAAAGGCATATTGCATTATGTAGATTACAAAATTTACTTCCTTCTGCATATATAAAAAATAGACAAATTGTTACTTTTCATTCATCATTTTCAATTTTACTGAAAAAGTTTGAAAATTTCATAAATATTTTCAAACTGTCAAAATTAATTTATTTTCGATAAATACTCTCAATTGTTAGGGATGGGACAGAATTCTTGGTTATTCAGAGAGTGATTCGAATTGAACAACCTATAAAAGTCGGTGATCGCTCAGAAAATTTTGTATGGGGAACTAAGTATGTTGCGGGGCCCTTCTCGAAAAACCCTAAGTCCGTCCATGAACGCAAAAAAAATTTTGCGTGGAAAGACCCTTGAGTGAGACCTTTTTGCCTTCATGGCGGTCTCTATACCATGCATATTAACCCTAACTCCCGAATGTTATTAAAGATGGGGGAGCTAGGGGATCTAATATTGTAAAAAGAAGACCCTTGGACACTGAATGGGGGTAGCCATAGAATGCGGGTATGACTAGCCATGCCCAAGAGCCTTTTGTTTTTGTGGGGAAAGATCGACTGGCATTTTTTTTCAGTTGCCAGGACGTTGGAGTGTTCCTCTTTTTGGATACACTCATTGTTGCGGGGTAGTCTCCTTCACCATCGGAGACTAGCCCAGGAAGAGTTTGCCCATGTGGTTGAATGTGGTGACCACCAAAATATTTCGGCGGATTGTAACATCTCACTCTGGTTATTTTGGCAGCCACCTCGTCCCTCCACATACGGCAAACCACATCTGAAAAAAGAAAAGAAGAAAAATTATTAATAAAAGAAAAAAATGCAAAAACAATTGGAACGATACAAAAAAAAATTATACTTACCGCCTTCTTGTCCGTCTGCTGCCAATTTACGTTTTGTGTATTGCAAAACTTCATGTGGATTGTAAACCATATGATCAGAAACAGCTGATGGATAGTATGTGCTATCATCTTAAGGTACTCTGCTAAAGATCGGTATTACCGACACAGGTAAGACTCTCTTAACGATGATGTAACCTCATATTCGGTGCTCTTAAAAGAGACAATGAGATCAAAATTATAATTTTTAAAATAGAAAAGGAACAATGGATTAATTTACGAAAGGGATAGGTATAATGACTTTTACAAAATGTCGAGATCTGGAAAATTGTCTCTGCTCCCAGAAAAAGTTATAAAAGAGGGCACTTTGTGAGAAAAATGTAGTCAGTTATATGGTGCTGAGCGAAGAAAGCCTCTTTTCTGTTTAAAAAGATAATTTAACCACGAAGTGAAAACCTAATAATTAAAAGGAAAACC